ACATCTTAATTGTCACCTCATTAGAAAAGTACCTGTCCAAACAAGAATGACCTAATGTCCCTCAAAGCTTCCAGGACAACCAGAGTTGTCCTGTAGGTGGTGTCCCTCTCCCCAGGTGGATGCAGCTCTTGAGGACAGTTCCTCATATACTGTCCTTCACACAGGGCTCCTGAAAAACTTAAATGGCTTTCAGGGTAATAGTAAAAGCTGGTGGGAGCAGGGAAGATTGCTCAGTCAGTAAAGTGGTTGTCATGTAAGCATGAGGACCCTGAGTTTGATCTCCAGCACTCACATAAAAAGCTTGGTGTGGTGGTGTACACTTGTAATCCAGCACTAAGACAGGAGGCTCCCTGGGGCTTCCTGGCCAGCCAGCCTAGCCTAATTGGAGAGCTCTAGGCCCTAGTGAGAGGCCCTGTCACAAAAAACAAGGTGGATCAGAAATAACACCCAAGGATGACTTCTGGCCTAACACACACACACACATACACACACACACATGCACATGCACACACGCAGGCATGTATGCATGCACACACACACACACACACACATGCACATACACGCTGTTTCCTGAGTGTGTACTGTGTGCCAGGTGCCATGCCAAGCTCTATGCAGACACTGGGTCATGCCAGCCCTATGGTGGCCATGCCATCAGTATCTGCATTTTACAGATGAAGGAACTACAGCTCCAGTCCTTTCCCAGGCTGGCCTTGAACTCCACGGCTATCCTCCTGTCTCAACACCCCCATGCAGAGTGCTAGGATTACAAATATGCATTACCACCACCACTACTGTCTTAGTTTTAAAAACTAGAAATTAGAACTTGGTAAGCAACCTTCCCAAGGACACAGAGCTAATAAAAGCAAGGATTTGAACTGTATCTCCTAATTCTCTTTCCAGGTCACCAGAACTGCTAGCTCAGTAGCTCCCTCTCTCCTCTTGCTCCCAGTGGACATTATAAAGGGGTGTGAATTCTCTATTTTACTACTCATTATTATTATTATTGTGTGTTTGTGTGTGTGTGTCTATGTGTAGGTATCGTATGTGAGTGCAGGTACACGCATGCCACAGTGCACGTGTGGATGTCAAACGACGACTTCCAGGAGCTGGTTCTCCCCTTCCAACAGAAGATCAAACTCAGGCTGCCAGGCTTGCACACCAAGCACTTTTACCTGCTGAGCCCTCTTGCTGATCCAGATTCCTAAATTCTCAATCTCTTATCCTAAGTCACCCAACTAGGAATTTCCCCCCAACTTTCTTGCTCACATCCAATACCCAGTCAGTCTGCATCCCCTCACACTGCTGCACCAGCAGTGTTCTGCAAAGACCCCCGAGAGGACCCTGTCTAATCTCACAGCCTTCGGTCGAGAAGAGAGATAATGCCTAACTCCTCAACCCTGATGGACTGACAAGTCACCGCATCAAATACACACAGCCTGCCCACCTCACAAAGTGGGGCAGGCAAGAGAGACCCAGCAGCTAACAGAGCTTGGCTTTCTCCTCTCTGCCTGTGTTCAAAGAGGTGAGGACTCCAAGCATGGATGGTAGAAGACAGACCACACCTTCCCAAGAGCATTCAGGCTGTGACATGAGATGCTACTGCCCCATGAGATCTGGAGCACCAGGACTTTAATCTTTAAGAAAACAAGTTCAGGTTCTGGGGATGTAGCCCAGTTGCTAGAATACCTGCCTAGTGTGCACAAAACCCTAGAAACCCACTATTTCTCCCCAGTACTGCATAAACTGGGCAGGGTGACACACGCCTATAATCCTAGTACTTGGGAGGTAGAAGCAAGTGTTATAAGTTGTTAAAGGTCATCTTCAGCTACATGGTAAGTTCAAGTCCTGCCTAGAATACACTGTCTCAAAAAACAAAAACAAAACCCAAGTTCCAGTTCAGTGCTGCCAGGCAGAGGGCAGGAAAGGCCAGCTGCAGAGGGGACGCCACTACAATGGAGGATCCAGAGGTCTGGCCCAGGGCATAGTGGCCTTCAGACCAGAAGCTACAGAAGACACTGAAGGAAAGGAAGCAGAGATCAACTAGACACCAGGGACCAGAGGGGCAGTAAACTGGAAGGAGGCAGGTCATCTTGGAGTTATTTGCCAGAATGAAGGAAGCAAGTTACAGGATGTGATACTGCCTACTATTATGGGCCTGAACATGTCACTTCCTCTGAAACTTTCAAAGGCGCCTTGTTGACCATACCAGGATCAAATCAAAACCCTCTGAGAGGGGAGACATTATAGGAAGACATTATATCTGCTGGGGTTCCCACCCACTACCTAGAATCCTTTCCTCTTCCTCCTTGGGTGCAGCACTCCTAGTTCCTCAAGGCCAGGAGACACCCGGCACCTTCCAGTGCAAGAAGAGCAGGGCTCTGAAGTCAGACCAACCGAGCTCTGATATGGAAGGTGGCAGTCCCACCTCACTGGGTGGTGGAAAGATGAAACAGTAATTCATGAAAGCACTTTGAACTGTGCCTGGCACACAATAAGTGCTCAATAAACGAGCTGTTGTTCCCATTGTCCTCGGGCCCCTTTAGAGTCCTCTCTCAACCACAAGCAGAGCACTGTCTTGCACTTACTGGTTATATGCTGGATTCCCCAACCAACCACAGCCTTAGAGGGTACAACCCAGGTCTCTGGCCTCTCCTCCTTGATGCCCAGCAAGTTCACAACACACAGTAGGTGTTCAGTAAGCATTTGCTGCCCCCAAAAGCCTCAGCTAAGGTCCTGGGGCAGGCCCCACCTAGAACTCTGAGGACCCAGCTATGGGCCTCACAGCACTCACACAGCAAATCCCCAGTCTCACTCACTGCTACTGGTTTTCAAAACAATAAAGGGCTGTACCCTGCCTTGCCTAGCCGTTTCTACTCCAGGGAATGTTCAGAGAGAAATGAGCACAGCAGAGACTCGAAATAGCACTAAGCCCCTCTTGGGGAGCGGAGGACTGGGCAGGCCAGCCAGCAAGCCAGAGCAAAAGCTGGAAGGGCAGAAGACAGAGGCTAGGGCTCATTGGCATACTGCCTGCCTCTCATGTATGAGGCCCCGATTCAATCCATGGTACCACAGAATTTTAAAGGGGGGGATGAGCAAAAACAGCCCCTAGACAGGAGCCCAGGCTCACAGAATTCAGCCAATACCAGGGAACTAGGGCAAGCTGGTCACTCTCGCCCATTCTGCCTGGGAGCTCTTCTTCCACTTGACTGAAGGCATTCAGGAGAGGCTCTTTGATTATACAATCCCTACCACCCTGGGAGCAACTTATAACACACTCATCACCCACCCACCCCCCAGGATGGGGCAAGGGCACCCAGGTCTCTATAGCTCTAGGGCAGGATTTACAGAGTCTCTCTCCACCCACCCTAGCCAATGGGGTCACCATCTATGTCCATCTCCCTTACAGAATGGGAGCCTCTAAAGGCAGGTACCAAGTCCCATTCTTCCTCAGACCTCCATGTCCCTAGGTGTTGTTTTACTCCACAGGATGGATAGCGAAAGATAAATACAGGAGCTGGAGGCAGCCCTGAGCCTAGCACATAATAGATGCTCAATAAGGCAAGGAGACCTGTCAACACCTGAGTCAGGACTCAGGGATGACAGCATCCCTTGCCTGTATCACTGACAAGCGAGTCATGAATTTTTCCCCGTGCCTCAGTTTCCTCATCCACAAATACACACAACAATACTTTCCTCCCACACCTGCTGTGAGAATTAACTGGGAAAATATACATGGAAAACAAAAAGCCTCTGAGGAATGTCAGTCAGCCAGCTCCTGCTCAACTATCCCTTTGTGCTAGAATCTTTTCCACTGGCCTGTCCCCCTCCCCGAGCACTGACCCCACCTCTGCCCTCCTTTGCCTTTGTCTTGTGTGTTTTGAATTCATGTGATCACTTATATTTCCAAGTCTGATTCCCCCACCCACCTGAGAGCTCCCAGATGCCAGGAGCGGATGCCAGAAGCATCACATTTGTGTCCAGGTGAGCACAGGCCTGGTTTCTGGGGCTCTCCCACCCTGAGGTGCCAACACAGGATTCTCACCAAGATATTCAAGTGTGCAGAGCCCAAGGACCTACCAATCATGTTGGCAAGGGACATAGGAAAGGATGCTGCAAACACAGCCTATGGAGACCTCTGAGACCTGGGCCTCCTCAGCTGGTGCAGGTGCGCCTGTGTGCTAGCTAACTCTGCTGCAGCACCAGCCTCCAGGGCACAAATTGCTACTTCTTTTCTTACATAAAGCACCCGGCAGTCAGATGAATAATGCATAGGCCTTCACCTCACACACAGGTATCAGGCAGGCAAACACCTGCTCTGCCCCACCATGCCCTGGAAGGGAGGGAGAGGTGAGATGCCAGGCCTCATACAACCCCTCAGAGAGGATATGGACTGGGAATCTGCACCCATTCCTCACACTCCCTCCCCTGCCACAGCCCCTTAGCACTGGAGTCTACCCAAGCAAGATGTCCATGGGCGTGTCTAGGGAAGACAGGCACAACACACAGGTCGGACGTACACACCCAAACCAGTCTTTTGAACGCAAACATCCTTCGAGCCCCAGATTCTCACTAGTCCCCCTCCAAACCCACTGACCCATGTCCCAAGCTTATACACCTCCTCCCCCTTTACGCAGCTTTTAAGACCTCGAGGGCCAACCACCCACCCAGGTCGCAGCCACCGCACAGGGCTCGAATGCCTCCCCACCTCACTCCGCAGTGCCAGGATCCAGCACACCCACCCGGATGCGCACGATCCCCCCAGCAAAGGGCTTGTCCCCCAGCAGCCCCGGGGTCCCCCGTGGACAGGTCCGGTTAGAGTCCCGACCTGCCTCCGCCACGTTGGCGGGAGGCGGAGCGGGCACACCCACCGGCCGCCCAGGGGCCTCGGCGTCCCCTCCTCCCCGCGGGGCGCCCCTCTGCGCGGGCCTGTCTCCACCGCGCCATCCCCTCCGGCTCCCCGAGCATCCACTGCATCCCTCTCATCCCACCGGCCCGGGTACCTTAGGAGCCCATGGCGGTGGTGTGTGCGGGCGACGCACGGCGGCCGGGCTGTACGGGCGGGGCAGGCAGCTCCGCAGCCTGGTGTCTCCGCGGCCGCCGGCGCGTACCGAACCCAGCGGAGTGCCACCGCGATGCGCCTGCGCACTGGGCGCGCCGCCGGGGAAGGCGGGGCGGGGAGCGCGCGCGGCTGAGATCACTCGGGGAGCCTTAAAGGGGCCGGGCGCTGTCAAGCCCCGCGCGCGACTCCCTGGGTCGGGAAGAGGGCGACCTGGTTGTCTCGCCGTTTGCAAACTGGGCGAGACCGAACCCCCAGTTTTCCGAGTCTCACCAACCACAGTCCTGGGATGCAAAGACTGAGCCTCGGGCTACAAACTCTCCCTGACACTCTGGCTGGCTAGTTCTTGACTTCTCTGAACCCTAATTTGAGCCCATTTTGAAGGTGAAACGAATTACAGTGGCTGTTTGTTGTGTGGAAGATGCGTATGGAACTGCAGAATGAACGTTCAGAGTGCTTTGTGCAGTTACGCAAGACGAAACTGCACAGCCCAAAAGGAGGCTTTTTCTTCCCACTCCACTCAGCTCGCGTGGGGCCCTGCCCCGCCTAGTGCTAGGCCGCCTAACCAGCTAGCCAGATTCTACGGTATCAGTCCAGCTGCCTGGCCCATTTTGGTTGGCCTGGTCCACATCTTACCCAGTTGAGTGAAATGCAAAATATGCAACCAAATTTATTTATAGCTCTAGCTCCAACTGATACCTACTTGGAGGGCTCGACTCCCTCCCCTTTCCACACGCATGGCTCTTCACAAGCATCTGTGCTTTTAGTCCCAAGGCCAGAACTCCTGGAATCATCCTTGATTCCCTGCTCTTGCCCCTCCCCACTTAGGCAGGTAGGAAATCCTACAGGCTCCGTCTGCAAAGTATACCTAGACTCTGACCTCCTCCACACCACCCCCACTGCAGCCATGTGGTTCACGCTCTGCCCAGGTTTAGCCAGGTTGTCCTAAACCAGCTCCGATTTTCCAACCTTCACCTCTCTGCTGGTCTGTATCAGTATGGGAATCAGAGAAATTGTTTTAGAGCCTAAGTCAGTGGCAGAGCCCTTGCTTAGCATGCCCCCAAACCTGGATTTGATCCTCAGCACCACAAATGAATAAAACCCAAGTCAAACCATGGCACTTGGTTCAAAACCCAGCATTACCTCCTCAATTCATTCTAAACAGAAGCCAGAGTCTTTAGATATCCGCACAAAGCCGTCATTTCTTCTCCCGGGGCTGTCTGGCCTTACCTCCTACCTTTCCTTCCACCCTGACCACTGCTGTCCCTACAGTAAGGGAAACACATTCAGTCTCAAGACTGTCACACTGGCTGTTCTCCCTGCTCAGATTGCCATTCTCCACAGACACCGGAACGATCTTTCATCTTCTTCACAGGTTTGCTCTGCGGGGGCGTTGCTGGCTCCTGCAGAAGTTGAAAAGTTGCAGTAAGACTGTTCAGAGTTAAACATCTCCCACCAGGGTAAAATTGCCAAGTCACTCGCACTCCGTATTCAGCAAGTTTCTGCTCTTGCTTCCAAATAACATTAAATTTCTAAAGTTGTACAGTTTGCCTGTTGTATTGTTCCTCTTCTTCTAGTAGAACATAAGTTCTATGAAAAACTGTTGTTGTTGTTTTCTAGAGAGATGGATGCAGACAAAAGATTCCATCCAAGTCTACCTTCGTGAGCCACTGAGTTTATTGGGCTTACCCACCAGAGCACAGATGAACACTTGCTTGCAACTGTAATTGGGGTAATTCTACCCCAGCTGCATGTGGCCTCTGGAATTGCTAGGTGGAAACCTAACTGAAGGAAGGGAATCGTATGAAGCTATGGGGAAGTCATCACCCATGCTGGGATGGGACTTTTTGATGATACGGGTGTTTCACAGTCACCCTCACTTCTGTAAATACCTCCTCATCCATGCGCCTATTAGCAACTCCAATAAACTCATTGATTCACCAATCTAGATTGGGTAGAATCATTACTTTGGTATGTGGTTAGTGCCTTATCAAGGACAAGTTAATATAGCAAGGGCAAAGATGCCTGTCCTTTTTGCTTCCTGACAGAAACCAGTATTCAGCACTAGGCTGGCACAGTGAACATGTCCAGAAAGTATTTGTAACAGCAACAAATATAATAGCTGATTCCAATAGAAAACTCTCCTCTAGGGCTGCATGTATGATTCAACAGGTAAAGGTGCTTGCTGCCAAGCTTGACAATCTGAGTTTGATCCCCAGGACCCACATGGTGGGAGGGGAAAACTGACTCCCAGAAATGGTTTTCTGATCTACACAGGCATACATGCATGCACGCACACATGCACTAAAAATGTAATAATAATGAGCCGGGAGTGGTGGTGCACGCCTGTAGTCCCAGCACTTGGGAGGCAGAGGCAGGCAGAGCTCTGTGAGTTCAAGATCTGCCTGGTCTAAATAGTGAGTTCCAGGCCAGCTGAGGCTACTGGGAGACACTGTCTCAAAAAGCAAAACAAATGAACAAAAGAAGGAAATAAAGAGACCACACAAAAAAGAAAGACAAAACAAAATCAAGAAAAAGCAAAGGAAGGAAGGAGGGAAGGAGGAAGTGAGGGAAGAAAGAAGGAAGGAAGAAGGAAAGGAAGGAAGGAAGGGAGGAAGGAGGAAGTGAGGGAGGAAGGGAAGGAGGGAAGGAAGGAAGGAGGAAAGGAAGGAGGAAGGAAGGAAGGAAGGAAGGAAGGAAGGAAGGAAGGAAGGAAGGAAGGAAGGAAGATCCCCTCCCAGCCCAGATTTGAACTCCTCTTTGGTTCATAACTTGCTAGTTCCCCTGTGGACCTGCTAACCCCTCTAGGGCAGAGTCCTCACCCCCTCTGTCACCATACCAACAATGCTTACAAACCAGACCCAGTGATAGCCAGGGCCCCCTCCAGAGCTCTCAGGTCAAACCACACCCAAATCTGGGTTCTTAGTCCTGGCTTTGCAAGGGCACTCATGGCTCTCAACTTACAGGGGCCCTGTCTGGCAGGGGCACAGACAGATGGTATTTTTAGGCACGAGTTGCCAGAAAAAAAACCCCGAGACAGAAAGTCACCTGGCCTAGTGACGGAGTGTGTTGGCCAGTGGCATCGGGAGCCCTGGTTGGCTGCTTCTCTTTGGGAGGAAAAGTCCCCCTCACAGCTTTGCTCAGGCTTTCTACATTTTTTTTTTTTTTGGTCTTTTTGAGACAGGGTCTCCCTGTAGCCCCAGCTGTCCTGGAGCTCACTATGTAGACCAGGCTGGCCTTGAGCTCACAGAGATCCACCTGCCTCTGCCTCCCGAGTGCTGGGATTAAAGGCGAGCACCACCACGCCCGGCCATTTTTTTTTTAATTATTATTTTTATTTTATGTGTGTGGGTGTACTGCCTGCATGTGTATAAGTGCACCCATGTTGTTCAGTGCCCTCGGAGGTCAGAAGAGGGTGTCGGAACCCCTGGAACTGGAGTTATGGATGGCTGTTAGCACTCAGACTTTCTAAAAAGAAGCTGCGATAAGGCCCAGAGATGACTCAGTGAGTAAAGGCACTTGTCACCAAGCCTGATGACCTGAGTTTGATCTCTGGGACACACATGTGGAAAGAAGAGAACCTACCCTCACAAGCTGCCCTCTGACTCCACGAATCCACACCACCCTCCTTCAGGCTGCCTCAATTTCTAGGTGATTCTCCCAGTTTTCCAATCCACCGTTCTCCGTTACACCTGCTCACTGGTCAATGAACAAAGCATGTCCTTCCCGTTCTCCAGCTCCACTCCTTTTCTATTCTGGGCACAGTCAGCTTCCTTCAAAGACCAAAGCCACCGTACCAGTTTTTGTTTCCTTATTGTTTATTTTGCTGCTGTGACTTAGAACCCAGGGCTCCCTGCATGCAAAGCATGGTGCTCTACCACTGAACTAAACCCCCAGCTGCTCTATTCTGGGTTTTTTGTTTTTGTTTTGAGACAGGTTTTCATCCTATTGCCCAGGATAGCCTGGAACTTACTAATGTAGTCCAGGCTGCACCCATCTCCCCCTTCTGTCTTAATAAATTTTGGGGGGAGGGTCTTTTTGTGGGCTTCCCTGTAGCCTCAGCTGTCCTGGAACTCACTATGTAGACCAGGCTGGCCTTGAACTCACAGAGATTTGCCTGCCTCTGCCTCCCAAGTGCTGGGATTAAAGGCATGCACCACCACGCCAGGCTTAATTTTAAGTCTCTTAATATGCCTAGTCTTTGCATTGAGGAAACAATTAGGAATAATATTGGGTGGTAAAGGCAAAAATAAACTTGTGTGCCAGCCTGGTTTGAACTCTTTAAAAAAAAGTGCTGAGAGGGAAAGATTAGCAGGAGAAACAATAGACGGGTTATCAATGGATCCTTCTAAGTGACAGAGTTATGAGCAGCAATATTTTTATTCCCTTCAGAAGGTCTGAAATTTGCTTGCAAAACCGTGGTATTTTCAAACTTAGAAAACAGTTATTTAAAGAAATGATGTGTTGTTCTGGTCTGGGTTTTCCCATCAACACATCACAAATCATCTGCTGAGAGGACAGAGGCTGTCTACAGGGACTCAGGCTGGGTTTATCTCCACATCGTCCCATATCCAGCTCAGCAAATAACTACTTACAAAAACCCTCTCCCTATGCAGGGTGGCAGCTCTGCCAGAAGAGTCTGGCAGTGTCCCCGAAGCTCTGACTGGTAACCATGCCATGCCTGGGGAGACAGAAAGGAGATCCAAGACTAGTGGTTACCCCTCCTTTGAATCCACTCCTAGCCTCTGGCCAAGACATATGGAGGCAAGAGCAGAGGTCTCAGGCATGCACGTTGATGAGGGGCCCAGCTCATCTGCAGCCTCTGGGCCATCCTTGTGTTCCCAAGGAGCCCCAGCCAGGTGCCCCAGAGAGTCAAGCAAGCAGAAGTGGTTCCCAGTAGAGAGTGGGATTTGAGGCCTCATACAGGGTCAGTGGGATGCTATTCTTTCTGTCTTTTGCTCTGTGTGTGTGTGCACATGTGTGCGTGCGTGTGTGTGTGTGTGTGTGTGTGTGTGTGTGTGTGTGTGTGTTTGTGTGCTGGCTTCATTCCCAGCTGGCCTTTCACCCCAGTGACAGTGTGTTCCTCTTTC